TGGCACTATGATTTTGTGCATCCTTGCTTGCTCTCCTCCTTCTTTTTCACTCTACCTTCCTCCCTTCTTTCCATTTATCAACTATGATCTTCAAATTGGCTTGAAATGACCTGTTTTCAGTGAACAAACCAGGCACAGTTCCCTAGAGGCCACAGGGGATTGTGAATACACTCCCTAGCAGAGTGCCTTATTTTCACTATCTGTTGGTCAGTGGAGTACATGGCCAGATGCTGAATTCAGATTCATGAACCTGTCTCACTGGCATGGGAAGTGAAGCCCAGATCTTACTCTGTGCTAGAAGAAAGGGCTTCTGGGTGATAGAGGAAATTGATGGTACTGCTTCACTAAAGATATAATCATCTTGTTGCCTGCATCCCAGACCCACCACAGAGAAGAAGAATCATGACCCAAAGGCCGGAGTAATTACAATGCTGTTGTTGAATTCAGTGAAGGTAGAAAATCTGAGACAATATTTCAGACTATACCTGCTCCTCTACCATTGTCTGAGTTTGGAAAGCTCAGACTAGCTCCATCCCTGGGAATGTCTCTGGTCCAGTGCTTCTCCCTGGAGGCACCCACATTCTCCTCATCATCCTAATCACTTCTCTTGAACCTGCCATGCTCTATTTTCCAGCTGGCGGATTTGGGCAAATCTTTAGAGCCCTCAAGACACATTCTCTACTACAAAGAGCCATAGGGAGCTCTATTCTCAAGGTCATCAAGTCCTGCCGTGTGGGGCAGCTGTACTGACAGTTATCATTGTTCTCATCATTGTCCTTCCTGCACTGCAGGACAGCCACCAGGCCACGAAAACCTAATGTACCTTAAATGCGGGGCCAACAACTCCCTCTCCCGCCCTCTTCACCCATGGTGAGCCTTGATCCCCTCAGGTGGAGCTCAATGAGATGACAAACAGCCCGGGGGCAGTTCAACCTGAGTACTGGGAAAGGCTTTCAAAAAATCATGGGGTGGGAACATCACAGCCACAACTTTACACCACTCTTGGCTCCCTCTGATGCTCCCAACATCATCAGCATAGCACAGATAGAAGACGGGACAGCTGCATTTTTAGAGAAGTCAGCCTCAGCTCAGGTCTGAATTTACACTAAATGGTTTATTGGTAAGTTGGGTCAATGGATGTCAGCATTCATGGCAACAAATGCAGGTGGACTTTGAAGGTGGAAAGGTGAAACATGAAATCGTCTTCATAAGTGCTAGTGCTGAATCCTAGTCCATAAGAGGCCTCTAAGAGCCCCTATAAAACCTTAGGGGTGAGGCCCTGAAACTCAGGCAAGGGGCTCTGAAAAGGCAGCTTTGGCCATGGTTTCAGCTGCTGCAACCATTCAGCATTTGTACATCTGGGGGTGGTAGCAGTTGTTGGCAAATGGGAAGGCTGCTCCATTAATGCTTTTAAAACACAGAGGCTGCTCTAAATGAGAGAGACTGCTGGCATCTTGTGAGGTGCCAGATAACTGGCTGCTGTGAAGAATGCCCTGCCCAGCTTTTGAAGAGGCTGGTCCTATTGTCAGAGTCCTGTTTCATCAGCTGTGCGGCCCAACTGTCTGTGGCACCTTAGGCAGCTGCTGATGGCACAGTGACCTACAGATGCAGCCTCTCTCACTATGTTCTCCTTGGACCCATTGTAATTCCTTGGGGAGAATTGGGATATCTGGGCAAGTGGGGACACCTGCTGAAGTAGTGACATTTGATGAAAGGGGACACTTGGCGAAGAGGGTAACATATGGTGAAGAGGGGCACATCTGGTGAAGTGAGGACACCTGATGAAGCCAGGCATGCCTAGTGAAGCAGGGACAGGGAAGAACCTTGCAGCAGATGGAGATAGGTTGGCCTGGGATGCCAAGGATTAAAGAGGGAGACCACTGTTCATGGGAACGAGATATGCTATAACTACCTTTGCTGAGATGTCATTTAACATGTAATTCACCTCAGGCTTCCTACCCTTTGCCCCACATCACTTCTACCACCTGCTGGCAAATACATGCTGTGGAAAATGAACCAAAGTACCTTTTGGTTCCCTAAGAGTCTTGACACACCAGCAATGGGTTCTGGGCCCAGACACAATTTTTCTTGCTTGTAAAGCCACAGCTGAGGCAACAAGGTGTAAGAGGAGGCTGATGGGGCTTAGTATCCAATAGTCTGGGATGTATCTTGACTTTGCTATTTCCCAGGCTTATGACTCAGGGGAAAATTACTTATGTGCTCTGGTTCTCTGTCAATAAAAGGGTTATAATAAAGAGTTTTTGTAAGAAAGAAACGAGCCTGTGCCATGGTGAGGGGTAAGGAAGCACGTTCCACCAGCAGTGCTTTGTTGCCTGGAGGGGCACCAAGCTGGGGCATCTTTCCTTGCTCTACTGCTGCCACTTGCCTGGTGCTGGGTGAGTTACCTTCTCTGAACCTCAGTTTTGTCACCTATCTGCTGGGGTTCTTGGGACTGTGTGCAGGGCCTGTGCAGGACAGTACCTCATCCATAGTGGCTGCAATGACCACTAGGATAATGTGAATTTAGGAGCGCATGGTAGCCCTGACATACTTAGAAGATGGCTGTGTTGCAGAACAGTCACTAACAGAGCCACCGAGGATGATATGCAACCACCTCCTCTGCTGGTCATAGGACTGGGCTGTGTTATGTTTATCTATCAAGTGAGCTGCAGGGCCACACACGCTTCATTTAACTGTCCTGACAGGTTTGGCCCCAACCCTCCCACACACATGAACAGTCATACCATATGGCACCACATGTGGTCCTGGTGCTCATCCCTGGGAAGGATTTGGTAGAGCTTCATAAAGTATAGAGAGGGCTGAGCCATTTTAAATGGAGCCTTGTCCATCTAAAAGGCAGGGACTGAGAGAAGATAGGAGGTTGGTTTAGCAGGAGACAGGGTGCCTGGGCACAGAGGGGCTGTCCTAAAGCAACCATGATGCAGTGGTGGAGATGGTGGGTCAGGACACACCTACTCCCTTAGTTCTACTTCTTAGCCAAATCCAAAGACATGGAACTTTGGGCACCCCTTGAACTTAAAATGAATTGTTTTAGGTCAAATGCAAAGATGTCCATTTTACACAATGGCTTCTGATGAACAGACCCTGAGAGACTGGGCTGATAAGGCGGGAGGAGACAAACAAGCAATGGATGACTACCTGGACACTGGAAATCATGGTGACCACCCCAGTCTCTATGCATGACTCATACCAGGTGCTGGGCTCTGTGTCCATACACTCAGCAACAGTCCTAGGAAGTGGGCCTCTCTTAGAGATAACGTTCAGAGAAGTGCACCCATATACCTAGGATCACACAGCGAGAAAGTAGCACAACTGGATTCAAACCAGTTTGGTTTGATCCTAAATCCATGCCATCATCCGGTTTCTCTGACTCTTACAGAGACATCTGGGCTTTTTCCACATATTCTTTCTTGAGCATGTTTTTGAAACATCCATTAGAGCCAAATGGTAGAGGATCTTGGACTTGACCCAGGAAGACAGTGCTAATAATTTTCAAAATATTAAGTGTTTAAGGTCAAGGGTGAGGGAGATCAAACTTGAGTCCTTATTCCAGTACAGTGGTTCTGAACTGCCACACACTGGAATCACCAGGCTGTACCCCTGATCAATCAAATCAGAAATCTGGGGCTGGGACCCAGGTAGCAGAGATTCTGTAAATACTAGGGTGGAATCTCTCTTAGAGAGATGGTCTCAGTGTCCACTGAGGGTATCAGGACAATAAGACTTATTAATAGCGTTCAAGGTAGAACTTAAGCAGCCAGAGATGATGTGATTCTCATCTTAGGAGACTACTTCTGTTTCAGCAGCTGAGTCCTGGGTGGCTCTGCAGTTATTTAAACAACTAAAAACTATAAGTGAAACCCATGAATTGTTATTAATCAGAAAGAAAAATCTTAAGCAAAAAAGCTAAAATATAATAATTTTTGTTAAATAATGAACACTCATGAAACATCAATAAAATGGTATTAAAATGTTTGTGATTAATTATTTTTCAGCATCCATCTTATGATGGCTTAAGCAGCATGAAGCAATAGCTGCACTTAAAAAATGACAAGAAAATAGCTATTTATTTAGTTGATAGAGAATGTTCATCTCCTTCTAAGATCACTAGTATCACTGCTTATCACCAAGGTGAGTGCTGATTCTTGTGTCTTTATGCTGAGGTGGCATCCACAGCTCCTTTGCCTTGAGTTCCTGGAGCAAATCTTGGGGTCTTTCTGGGAGGAGTCTTGGGAGAGATGGTGGCCTGCCCCCACAGATCAATGAAGCCCAATACTGTAGATTGCTGTGAAGTGGATGCTGAATTTGGACACGTTCCAGGGGAGGGAGGATGTTCCTAGGCTGGGAACTGTGGAGGGAATGAAAAATGGGCCTGGGGACAGGTCCCATGCTATTCTGGCCTTGCATTCTCAGGGCTGGACCCATCTGAAGACCAGTGGTAGTAGGGGTCCAGCAAGTAATTTTGTCTTTCTTCCTGCTCAGCCCAATTTTCCTCCTACAGGGAAGGTGAATGGACTGGGGGAATGCCAGAGGAATCAAGAACAGCAACAGACAGAAAAGTGACATGTTCCCTTCCTTCTTCCTACTGCACCATACTCCATAAATTTTTTTTTTTACTTTTTGTATATTGCTTATGCTATGGCATTCCAGGCATTGGCAGGCTGCAGAGCGAGATGCACTGTCATGAATCCACCAGAATCCATCCAGAGACAGCCTCATGGGTGAAGATCTTTGGAGCTTCCACTTGGAAGTGTTAGCAGTGTCATCTGTCTTATGTTCTACACAGTGCTGTGAAAATAATATTAAAAGGTAAAAACCAAAGAAATCCGTGACTAGAAAATTTCAGGGTGTTATGGAATCATTTGACAATAATTTATACTATACAGCATCAGACAGGTGTGTCTTTCTTGCCAGCCCTGCTTTCTCTGCATCTGCATACAGCTGACCCCAGGTTCTTCCCCTATGTGCCCAGAGGAAGCTCATAGGTGGTTGATTTTGGAGAGGTAGGCAATAAGGGCCACGGCCACGCCCACATAAATGCCAGTTCCGATTGTGATGGAGAGCACAGCCAAGAACAGGGCCCGCCGAGAGCTGGTGCTGGCCTGGTGGAAGTCTCCCTTGGCCACAGCTTTGTTCGTCTGTAGAGTTAGAAAGGAAGGAGGGAGAAGAAAAAGGAAGTCGAGATGAGAAAGTTGGAACAAACGAAGTGAGGATAGGGTCTACCTCTGGCTCCCTTCCAACTTGAACTTATCTGATTCCAGGGAGAAAGACTAGCCAAGGGCTACTATGCATGCTCCCCTATTGACAGCAGTTATCTCCAACTGGCAAAGAAGGAATTGGCGGTGGGGGGGGGAAGTCTTTTACTTATTACTGCTTCACCACTGCAAGACACTCAAAGTGTAAACAAAAGGAAAGAGTCCTAAGAAAACACCCATGGTTGGCAGTAGCCCAACTGAGTCCCACCAATGTGGGGCCCAGGGCTTTGGGCATCAGTATGCCAAGGATGGGATAGATATTACACCTCCAATGCCCTGCTTTCTACCCAATAATGACATTTCCTTTTTTTTTTTGAATAACACTAAATTTTCTAAAGTATGTTCACACTTACCTTATTTAAGCTTTACACCATAGTAGGGGTGTGGGGAAGGACATTATGGTTCTTTTTCCCAGAGAAGAAACAATGGCATGAGATCATGAAATCGACTGCAGGATACTTGAAATTCTACTCTTCAGCTGGTGGCCCTGGAATCATGCTTTCCTGATCATCTCCCTCCCTTGCATAGCTAGAGTTGGTACAATTCATCCACCAATAAAATGGTTTGAGATAAGACCAATATCTAGATTTATAGTTGTTCAATTACATAACAAGGTGTTGGTCTAATAAAATTCATGTTTCTTGGGGTCATGAGGTAGCAGGAAAAAAAACAGGAATGTAAAGATTTTGGGCGATGTATCTGATGTGTAGCCTTCCTTATCTTGCTCTACAAGTGAGATTAGGTGCAAAACCAAGAGTATGGTGATTGTTGTGGGATTCAGCTGTGATCATTATGGAGGAAATACCTAGTAAAATGGCAGCTTCTCTGGCAGATAAGGGTGGGGGTTACCAAGGTGTATAACTCTCAGGAGTGTCATGTAATGCCGAGGCGGGCAACCCTATGCCAGTGAGGGATTCTGTATGGTCAGGGTAAAAGCAGAGTCCACTCTCCTGGTAGAATGTCCTAACTTGCTCTCTGGTCCATTTCTCGGAACCAGATTATGGCCGGATCCCATTTCCATGTGACAAAAGTAGTATTTCTAAATTGAGAGGAATTTTTGTCAAAATGGAAGAATAGATAAATGCTGAGCTTGCCCCCTCTCACAATCACATCAAAACTGCAACTAAATTACAGAATAGCCATCATTGGAAAGCCTAGCTGAGCAGAAGTCCTACAACAGGTGACACATAGAAGAGGCTACCTCAAGATTGGTAGGAAGTATAGAGAGCTCAAACGAGCTGGTCCCGCACCTGTATTTGGCAGTTGAGAATCTGGGTAAATATTTTGGCTGTGGAGCTCCCCTCAGAAAAGCGAGGGGTTCTGGCCCTACACTGGGCTCCCCAGGCAAGGGTTCTAGTGCTGCAAAAAGAAGTCCTCACAACTTTTGGCTGTAAATACCAGCAAAAATCATGGCTGAGTGAGCTGGAGAGCTGAGGGAGTTGCAGGCTTTCCTCTTAAAGTGCCTGCTCAGACTTATCGCTGATGGACTCGCTTACTCTGAGCTCCAGTGCTGGGGCAGCAGCTCGAAAGGCACCAGGAACATATGGGGAGGAACTGAGTTGTCTAGTTTCAGAGTGAGGGCTGGAGGGGCAGCTTTCTCCCAGACAGAAATGTTGGCAGAGGGTATTGTTCCTTTGCTGAACCCTCCCATGCCTGGCTTGCAGAACCAGGTGGCTACCACACATGAGTCTCCTAAAAGGTAGCTAACACTGGTCACTCTGCCCTGGTGATTACCTGAGATCCTGACCTCCTCAACTTGTGGGCCCACCTGAGCTGCTTCTAGTGCATTTTCCATACAAATGGCTGGTGTTGGCTCATGCTGCAGACTTTCCTAAAATGTCTTAAAGGTTCACAAAACCCAAACAATCATAATCTGGCCTCAGCATGCCCCATACATCTTGCTGAGCAGCACCAAACCTGGTGCTAGTGGCAGTCAATTTCAGTTTTCAGCTTGGCCTTTCGAGATATATCTAAGTCTAATGTGGGTGGCAGCCGTTTGCTGATTTCTTGGTGGCTCATGCCAGGTGGCTCTGGGCAGGGCACAGGCTACAGCTAAACTTGGCCTGTGGCAGGGCCCCTCCCAGGAGGCCCTGGTCTGCATGCCCAGTGGCCAGCTTCAGTCTGAGCTGGAGCACTGCCTGGGGTTACATCTGAGGATGACACGCCCAAAGGGCATATACTGTAGGCACCAGAGCTCGGCTAAAGCGAATCTTGTTCTGTAGGGTCAGCTCCTGCACAACAGCTCCTCCATTGGTCATCACAATGAATCAGCCTGAGGGTCAATCCCTCCCATCCATAAGAAAACAGCAACCAAGGCTCAACGGCAACAGGAGGGCACACACGACCCATACGAGTGACATACCTGGAACACCCAACTCAGATGGCCAAGGAAGACAGTGTTACTGGGTCCTATAGGACACCTACTACATAAAGTTACTACTAAGACTGGGAAACACAGTGGCCCTTCCTAATACATAGAAATAAACACAGAGAGGCAGCCAAATGGGAAGATAAAGAATCGTGTCCCACATGAAAGAATAGAACAAAGTTCCACAAAAAGAACTAAATAAAATGGAGACAAGTAATCTACCAGATACAGAGTTCAAAACACTTTTATAAGGATGCTCAATGA